TGAGACAGAGGCTCACTGTGCTGCCCGGGCTAGAGTGCCGTGGCGTCAGCCTAGCTCACAGCAACCTCAAACTCCTGGGCTCAAGCTATCCTCCTGCCTCAGCCTCCCGAGTAGCTGGGACTACAGGCATGCGCCACCATGCCTGGCTAATTTTTTCAGTATGTTTTTAGTTGTCCAGCTAATTTCTTTCTAATTTTAGTAGAGACGGAGTCTCCCTCTTTCTCAGGTTGGTTTTGAACTCCTGAGCTCAAACAATCTGCCCGCCTCGGCCTCTCAGAGAGCTAGGATTACAGGCGTGAAACACCGCGCCCGGCCGTGTATTCTCTTTTAAATTTCAAATAATAACTATATTCTGAACATTCCCAGATGCAGATTTAGAGTTCAGAAATCTATCCTACACTTCAGACATACTCATCCACTAGTCTGTTAGACGTCACCATTTGTTATTTTATGGATTGACACAACCCTTCCTCACATTGGTCTTTCTCCTCCAGTCTTGGCTTTACTGTCTGTATCTTCATTTCCAAATTCTCCATACCACATCTAATATTTTCATTCTAAAATCCAAATCTGATTTTGTCATTTCTTAAGTTAAACCTTTTGCCATTGGAAGTGAGTTATCAGAGATTTGCGTAGCAAGTCAAAACTCAGAGCAAAAAGAATTATTTGACCTTCCCAAGCTTAAGTACATTATTTCTTCCAATGTGTATCCACAAGATGAACAATGGCTATTTCTAGATATTTTCTATGCTTGCAAAGGTGACCATTATCACTCCTCAGCTCCATGCTCTAATGAAGGTATCCATTTTTAAATACCTTAATGGCTTCTGCTGGTCAAATCCAGCCAGCCCTGGAGCCATATCTCTTATCTGATGTGAGGTTTAAATAAGTAGTATGATACTTTGAGAACAATTGTATTTATCTTAATTTCAAACTCTCATCTTTGTGTTCTTTCCCCAGGTACTTCTAGCAAGTATGAACTATAAATCATTTTAACCATACCTCTTTTTTAACTTATAAAGACATTAAATCTCAGAGAAATTAATAGACTTGTCCAAAGCAACACAAGAACCCACAGTTCCCAACTCCCAAATCATTGTAGTCCCATTATATATTGCTCCATCTCTAGAAATATGACTCAGATTTATTAGTTCTTTGCGTCCTTTCCTTGTGATAGATGTACTTAGCCATTTTACATTAAAATAATTTTGTATTCCTGATGCTATTTATTTATGAAAAGAGAAAAAAATGCAAACATTTTTAAAAAATCCTCCAAAAATAGGATGTCTTATTACACAATTCTTATAAGAGAAACTGAAAGTTTCTTTGGCCATATGATATGGCCAAATTTCTATTGCTGTTACAAAATTAATTGTTTCTTTGTGACTGCAAAAAACTTTTTACAAGGTATTCTAAGTTTTCAGTGATTCAGTTTATTAGTGTTCCACACGTA